AACCGAGGAAAAAAAAAAAAAAAAAATGGGATCTTGCCCGAACTTATCACCTGAAATCTACCCTTCCCTCAGTTCTTCCTGAATGTCTCTTGTCGTCAACGTCCCTGAGCGATCCAGATAGCGTGCGTGTCTAAAGGTGTGCACACGGCCCACCCCTGTGGCCCGAGTCCTGCTGAGCTGGCCAGCCCTGCACAGTCTTTATCCTCACATGCAGCGAGCCTTACACCGAACGATTGGCTGATCAGGAGGCATTTATATGGACGGCCCCCGAAGCCCTCAGGAATTCTTTAACGTCGCAGACAGGACGACGATCACAGCCAATGGAAGGTACCCCGCCGATGCTTATTTATAGACGCCCGGTCTCATCTGTCCCATAGGGCTGGCCTGCCCCTTAGAACCCCTCTACAGTGCAGCGAGCAGACAAAGGACAAAGCAGCAAAGCATGCGTGCTCTACTCCCGGTGGGTTGGCATGGTGACCGTGACCCAGTGCTTCGTCCAGGGCCCTTCAGATAGCACCGCCCTCTCCTTCCAGATGCTCCACGTGAAGGCTGATGACTCTCAAGGTTGAGTGCACACGACTCCTCACATGAGAGGACTCTCAAGACAGAACACACATCCTCACGGTAAGAAGTGGTGAAGAGGGTAGATAAGGTTAGGTGCAACGTACCTCAAAATAGCTGCCCCCAACCACAGATATTCTCCCCAGATGACCCGATGTTGATTGTGATGACCAATCGTTGCTTCGGCACAACCAGCATTGCACAGCCGTTCCACCTCAGCATCAATTGCGCATCGGATAGTTCTCATCACACTGCGGACACCCAAAATTCACCGCATAGCCTTCCTGGCGATCCCCTCTCCACCTGGGTCGCCTGCTTATCTTCGCCTTCCTCACTACACACGTCCCACGGCACAGTCGCTCACCGCACACACCACGTGCATGTACCGCATCAGGCAGAAGACAAGCACCAGATTAGCACCGAACCACAGCTCTGATACCAAATTGCAAGGAAGATGAGCAATAGCGAACTTCAGAAATCAAACAGCATCATACACATGAGACCAGATAATCGTGACCTTGAACCAATAGCAGAATTGCAACACGAGTTTCACCAAATAAGAGCACAGCAAAAGCTCATAATTGACAACGCTGGAATAGTCTCATCATCATCAACGAAGAACCAATGTCGATATCCTAACTGGCGCTCGGCGCCCAGACTACAGATGGCAGATCCTATCTAGCCTAATCTATGATGTCGCTGATGACGTCAACAGCTCCCCGAAGTATGAGCAGATCTCGGACAATGCCGTACACTTCAAGCACCAGGTATGTCTTTCGTATCATTCACAACCTCGTTCCCCAACTCACAGATGCCACATGCACCCAAGAACCACCATCCGCTCCATCCAGCATACAGCAGCGCAGCTCGGCTATGGCTGCCTGCTCCTTCCAGCTCGCCCGTGAGCGCGCGAGCGCTGGCCAGTGTTAGCGCAGCATGTAGCCAGTGCCTGAATGCCGATTGCGTGGGCAGGCCCTTTCCTAAATGGAAGTGGCCTGCCTGCCTCGCGTGCAGCCTGGCTGCGCTGGGTGCCTGCCCAGAAGCTTCCGGTAGGCCCAGGAAGGGTGAGCCTCAGTCCAAACGAATCAGGCCCAGGGCCACCGACAGTTACACGTGCCCAACTGCGCACAGCCTGAGTTGGGCCTGTGCTGCGTATCTCGCCCAGGGCCTGACTTAGATACATTTGATGAAGGAGGCCAGAGCCTGGGCGCCTTCGACCAACTGGCGCTGCGCAACTGCCTGAATTTTCCCCAGTTGCGAAGTAGTCCAAAATAGGCCTCTTGTCGTCTGTTGAGCCTGCCTTCACTTAGGGCGGCCGACCTGTTGCAAATAGGGGCTCGGTAGGGCTTATCGAGGCCTAGTGCCTCCCAGTACTGAAAACCCTCCGAGTTGCCCTCTTGAGATGCTGGTGAAATGAGTGCTTTGTTGCTAATGGAGGCAGTGCTCTCCTTCCCTCACTACTTTTTTTTTTTTTTTTTGGTGTGTGTGTGTGTGTGTGGACACAGCTCGTTCTATTCTTGGGGGTGTCAGTTTTGTTCGTATTCCACCGGCAAGTCAGAAAGACATGAATACACAGCTTTTAACACGCCTTGCCGCGCTAGCATTGATTCCTTCCTTTTGGAAATTTGGAAGGATTAAGTGGCAGTCAAGCCCGTACATTTATCGGAGAATCACCTCCCTCTATCGATTTACCCAGAAACAAAGCATACCTGAAATTGAACTTCAGAGAAGTTCCTCCCTCTCGGTCTGCACCTGGCACACTGTCCGCTAAAACCCTAAACCCTAAGAAAACCCTGGCCTGTCCTCCCCCGGTATTCGTTTTTGGACATGAAAGCCAGCGGTTAGTATTGAACCTCTTTTTTTATTTTTATGGCATTGAAATATTGTAATTGGACTGACCGGGCCCCAGGAAATTCAGAATAAGTTTGATCTGTTCATCTGATTGCATGTCGATTCGAACTTCGGTCTGTCTTTTGACAGTTGATGGGTGTACCGATGGAGCAGGCCTGTCCTCCCCCAGTATTCTTATTTTGAAGCCCTTCTGACGAATTCCCTGAGCTGATTTTGCTTTCTTGTTTCTCGTCTGTGTGCCTTTTGACCCATCCCGCCACTTGGTGGAATTCCAACCCCTTGGCCTGTTGATCCACCCTGCCACTTCGTTTAATTGCTTCGCAACCGTTGCAGCCCCCAGGAATGGGTCATATCTGTGGGATTCAGGCTCAGTCAGGCTTCGGCATGCGAGATTATGCACCAAGGACATGGTTTTCAGAAGCACGAAATGGTCGTCCAGCGTGAGGGATTGCTCGAACCCCAACCTGGCAATCAACTGCAGAGCAGAACTTGCAGCAGAACTCTATACTTCAGCAAAAAAGCAATCGCACCGAGCAAGCAGATACCTTGGTGAAGCAAAAAAGGAAAAGGGTGATACCTTGGAGAGTGCACAAGTGGCAAGTGCATCCGCGGAGGCATTACTGCGATTGTTGCCGCAGTTCCATGCGAGAAGTTTGGTAAAGTCCGTGGCTATTTTGAGCAACTTGCGAGGTGTGCAACAGCAAGCAACTCTGTCATTCCTTCTCCTGTGTGATGAAGTGGAGTTCGGCGAATATTGATGGCTGTTTGGGAAGCGCGCACAATGTTTCGCAAGGGCATCGCACTGAAAGCAGACATTATGACTGGTTTTGCCAACCGGCCTACCACTATATATAACTCCGGCAAGCCTCAAGGTGGTGTTATATTGCCTTTACTGACCAACATTTCTTTGCACAAAATGGAGGAACGAGTGGGCTCAAGCAGCGGAAGGCCGAGTTATCTTTTTGTAAGATACGCCGATGATTTCGTTGGTCTTTCGAAAGGCTTCAAGAGTGGTTCAGGGCTCTCAAGGATTCCTATCACTATGGCTCACTCATGGGCCCAGAACTCCATATCCCTGTTTCAGTTCCATTGAACGAGATTTCGGCTTCAAACTGTTTGATCAATCAGTTGTATAATGGGACACTGAACCCAGTTTCCAGCAGGTGCGGCTCCCCACAAATAGACTGGAGCACCCGGCGGAGGAGTACTAGGTAGGGATGCTCTTATCACCTCACTTTCAGCAAAAAAAAAGAACAAAAGTTTGGTAAGTTTGGTGGCCAAAAAAATTGGAACGATACCGAGAACATTAGTATGGCCCCTGCGCAAGGATGACACACATAAATCAATGTAAATGGTCCAAATTTTTAAATTAAAAAATTAATAAATTTGGTGGCCATTCTGGAAGCATGCAACAGCGGTGCAGGGCGATTGGTCGCTGATGCATCAACCCGGCTAACAACCCCTCGGTACGCTGTGGTTCTGTTTCGAATGTCAATTATGTCGTTCGATGGAGTTTGGAAAGCTTCGTTGCGTATTTTCGGAGCATGTTGCTAAGCATTGCTGGATTAACAAGTGCTTAGCGGAAGTATTGGATTGGTTGGCATATAAAGAAAAGTAAAAAAAAGAAAGAAGAAGATTGGTTGGCATATTGCTGAGGGTTTTGCTGTGGGGCTGGGTTCTGCTTGGGGGTTGCTATCGTGGTGGTGGCTTTCTACTGAGGGGTTGCTGTGGGGCTGATTTTCTCCAGGAGTGTAACTTTGGTGATCGTTCTTGTGCTTCGATAGCAGATGATAAGTGTCATGGTGGCTTATCGGGCAGCTTTGCTGTGCTGCATGTTCCATTCTCGTGAAGGAAGGAATAGCATGTTAACTGCTGCCAAGCGTTCATCAAGAGCATGTTTGTGGTAGACATTTGAGGGTGCTGATGCTTGCTGCCGGTGGTCTGCCCGAGCTGCTCTCGCGGCGAGGGCGGAACCCACGTGCCAGTGTGCGGACGGGCGTAGAATGTTTTATGTCCCCACCTTGAGGGTGGGATGCGTGGACCGAAGAGGCATTTGACCATATGCAAATGCAATTGAAGGTGTATTACAGCAGGGTGCACTTCTTCAGCTGTTGAGAAGAAAAGATATGTGTTTGAGCATTTTGCGGACAACATTAGACTTGTGCAGGGTCTTCCTTTGCTGTCATGAATATCTTCGATCGATGTTATTCATTTCCCTGAGCTGGGCAATGGCTGTGGAGGAGATGAATGCACAAATTATGGCAAATGAGGATGAGTGAGACTGATGGACAGTGATGTCTGGCTGCATTGCCTGAAAGAGAAGCGAAACGAGATAGGCAGAAGGGTGATGGTTACATGTCTGTGGGACTCGTTTGCAAAGGTGTGTTCTCTTATTTCTCTGTGACAGTAAAGCCTAACGCATCTTTGAATTCTTTGATGTGAAACAAGAACGAAATCAAACGGAGAATGGAAAACAGTATGAGGCCTGTTGCACCGTCTTGTGAATACGTCGTCCTTTTGTCGTAGATGATTTAAGATCCGGGTAATCTCACAAAATAACACTCGTATATATTGAGCTCGTAATGGTACGCTTGGACTATCTGAATCTATCAAACACACACAATGAATTTCGATATCATATACAGGATAATAATTTTCATTGGTCTTTAGGTGAAAGCTCTGAACATAAGGACTGTTGTTAGTTTTTGGAAGTTCCTATTCGTGCCCCCGCATCTCCAGCTGAGAGGGGCAGTGGGAAGAGAGACAGACACACACAGATGAAGAGAGAGAGAGAGAGAGAGAGAGAGAGAGAGAGAGAGAGAGAGAGAGAGAGAGAGAGAGAGAGAGAGAGAGAGAGAGAGAGATGGGGTCCCATGGGTCTCTCGGCCGGTATGCCCCGCGGCCAGGAGTGCGGGCCTCGTCAGGACCAGGCAGGGACTCAGCAGGGCTGCCTGAGAGGTGGTAGGGTTGCCCAAAACTGGAAGACTCTAGAACACAGTGCCATTAAATGTTTTTTGAAGAAACTTTTGATGATACCAAACCCATTATTACCTGGATTCGGCTGAAAAAATTTTCAGAAAAAGCTATGAAGATTCATGAACAACTTCTAACCTTTGCTTTTACCAAATTCTACCACCCAAATGACTCTATGGCCAATCCAATCCCAAACTTTAGCTGTCCTGTTACATCTACCAGGCCTATACCACCCGGTCTCACGCCCCCAACATGCTAGGCTACAGGGCAGTGCAACCCACCCTAGCTCCAACCATCGTTGTCCTGGCAGCCTCCGGTTGGCCACTGGATTGTCTTCCTCCGTCAACAAATCCCCAGATCTCTCTATCAGGTCTAAAGCTCCTCCATAAACAGGTTACAGGGCAAATGCCCCAGCACCGACCAGTGTCGTTCTGGCATCGGCTAACCTAGGCCATTAAACACCGCAGGTTCGTTTGGCATCAGATGTTCCTCTACCGCCACTGAAGTTCAGGATCCGGTGTCTGTAAAAGCTTGAAGTGACCCATGACTACTGGTGATTAGTGATGATTTCAACTCCTATGAATTTCATTACCAACGTCTATCCCCACGTCAACCAAGCACCCACAGTCCAAGTGGCTCTAAGAGTCTAACCTAAACCAAACGTACTACCAGGCCTCCTCGGCCTCACGCCCCCAACATGCTAGGCTATAGCGCAGCACAACCTACCCCAGCTACGACCTGTGTTGGCCTGGTAGCAGCCCCCGGTTAGCTACTAGATCGCCTTCCGCCCTCGACGAACGCTCAGCTCTCCTTACCAGGCTCACGCTCCTGCGTAAACAGGTTACAGGGCTACACCCCAGCACCGTCCAGCGTCAGTCTGGCATCAGCCAACCAAGGACACTAATCGTCGCAGCTTTTCATATGGTGTCGGAAAAGCAATTAGCGCCACTGGAATTCTGTACCCTGTTTCTGTAGATAATCACAGATACTAATGATCTCGATGATTAATTATTAAGAAATTAGCTGTTCAAGAGCTGATTGTAGAATATCCTCCCCCCCCCTCTCCTTCTCCTTCTCAGTGTTCTCACCCTGTCCATCCACTGCCTCCACCGAAATCACTTCCCTAAATACAGGTACTCCTCATCGGCCCCAACCCTCCCCCCGCCCCCCCCCTCTCCCCCTCCCCTTCTACAGTTCCTGCCCAATGCCACCCCCCTGCCCTTTTCTGCCACCACCCCAGGCCCAGATGAGAGCAACCTCCAAAATCTGGCCCCACCCCCTCCAGGACATTCACTTCCCACCTTGTGAAGCCCCTGCAGAGTAGAGCTCTCCCCCTCAGTACCAGTCCCCCCAAATGCCATAAATAATTTCTCGACGCGCAAAGAGAGGAGAATGAGTAAATTTATGAACGAGAAATGTATGAATTGAGGAAGTCAGATTTCTAAAATAGAAAATTAGAAAGGTACATCTATGGACTTGAAGATAAATGGATTAAGACCTAAAAAAAAGTTATATCCAGATGGCAAAAACTATGGAAATATAAGGTATTGTAGTTGGAGATTGAAAATGAGACTAATGAATTTAGGATTTAGCTAGGCTTCCTGAGCCGCCCGGCCAGACGGGCACGGCCGTGCACCCGTGCAGGCTGCACAGGCGGGCGGCTGCATGGGTCACCCGTGCGAGCTAATTTTTATTATAAAAGGAAAAGGTGATGGGGGGCTGTTGTGCATGCAGAGATGTGCCCGAATCAGCCTTTTCCAGACTGGCGGGGAGGTGAGGGATGGCGAGAGGGAGGTTGAAGATGGAGAGAGGAGGGTGGGAGATGGCAGGCGGGAGGTTGGAGGTGGCAAAAGGGAGGTAGGAGGTTGCATGCGGGGAGGTGGGAAATGGCCGGATTGAGGTAGGAGGTGGCGAGAGCTAAGTGGGAGATGGCGAAAGAGAGGGAGGTGGGAGATGGCAGGAGGGAGGCAGAAGAAGGAGAGAGGGAAGTGGGAGATGGTGGGAGGGGAGGTAGGAGGTGGCGGGAAGGAGGCGGAGGATTGGTGGGAGGGAGGCGGAGGATGGTTGGAGGGATGTGGGAGATAGTGGGAGGGTTAGTGGGAGGTAGCAGGAGAGGTATTGGGAGCTGGCGGGAGATGGCAGAAGAGCAGGAACGGAGTGGCGGGAGGGAGGTGGACGAAGGGGGAAGAGAAGGAACGAAGTGGCGGGAGAGAAGTGGAGGACGACGAGCACACGGAGAAGTTGAACGAAGACGAAGAAGACGAAGGAGGAGGAGGAGGAGCAGCGGGTGGAGAAGTTCAACGAAGAAGAAGAAGAAGAAGACCACTTACCTTCGCTTCATGGGACCAGCGACAGCCCTGAGCAGCGGCGAAGGCCCTGGGGAGCGGCGAAGGAGTGGCAAAGGCCCTGGGGAGCGGCGAAGAACAGCGGCGATGGGCCCGGGAAGACGTGTCGGGGAGCAGCTACGGCCGTGGGAGGTGGGCAATGGCGCAACCTGACCGACGGCAGCGACGACGATGAAATGGCGGGCGGAGTGGCAACACGGGGGACCCCCGTCCTCAGGCCCGCGCAGTTCGAAATTTTGAACTCGATTTCGAAAACGCCCGGGTCGTGGGGACATCCTCGACGAATCTCCGCCGTAGATCTTCGAGTCCAAAATCGAATTTTTTAAGCCACCCCCCGCGCGCTAAAAAAAAATCTCGACATGTGGGGGGCCTTAAAAAAATTGTGCGGTGCTGGAACTGGGCCTGCCGTCCCCAGAACTGCCCCCCAAGCACACCGCGCTGGGGCCGTACGGGGTCCGTACGGGGGACCTGCACGGCCGTGCAAAGATCCGTGCGTGCCGGGGGTAACCGTGCGCACGGAAATTATTAAAAAAACATTTAAGTAATTAGGAATTTAGGTATTGAAACAGTACCTTGGAAAAAAATCTAGTTGAGAAAATTTAACGAACTGAAGATTGAGAAAGTATTAGGATATTTTAGGATTAGGATATTAGTAAGTTGATGACAACGTTGATGATTAATTTGATAAATTGGATGATTAGAGAGTATCGCGAGGGTTTATGCTTCGGCATAGGGCCCTGCAGCAGGCGCGTGCCCGCCCTAAGTGAAGGCGGGCCCGCTGAATCTCAGTGCCCTCTGAACTCGTCAATTTTTGCCAATCTTGGTCGGCGCCAGAATTGCCACGTGCCAGTTGGTTACATCCGCCTTGCTCGTGAGAATCCAAAATATTTGTGAGCCTTCCAGGCTCTTCCAGCAATGTGGTGGAAGCAGGGAGCAAGCAACACACGTTTGTGCCCGGGTGGTTGGGCATGCGTAACCAATTCGGTCCCAGGCCACTGTCTGAACGGGCCTGGCCGCAGAGACTTTGGCCGAGACTGAAGCTACTGAAAACTCGGCCTCGCGGGCTGCTTGCTGCGCGCATGCGCAGACGTGCAGGATGTAGGGCGCTGCTGAGGGAAGTGCCATAGCCAGCCCCACGTAGCCGGGGCTCGGCGTGGACATAGCCAGTGGAGGTGGTGAGGGTCTCCATGCAAGAGAGGGAAGACATGGGTAAGGGAAGACGAGGGAGAGAATGAGAGAGATGAGGATGATGATGTGAGGGCATGTACCTGGTCTTGGCAATGGTCTACAAGATCGACATCTTCATGCACTTCGGTTGTTGCATCTGTGACGTCAACGGGATGCATTGTCAATTCGTAGGCTGCTGGTAGCTGTGTAGTAGCAGTAGTCTGGGCGCTGAGCGCCACGTAGGAGGAAGGGCTCTGGATACGTATGTTGGTGGTCGCGAGAGTATGCTCTCATCGACATTCGGATTCAATACTTTGGTCCTCCGTTGGTGGAATATCAGTGCATTTCTGCTTTCTGAACAGCGTTGGACTTTCTGGCCTTCAGTGTGAATTTGCATTCTGGATTTCTGTCATTTCGCTATCGTTCATTTTCCTTGCAGTATACTAAGATTTGCATTCAGCTTCAATTTTAGGGAATCTTCAGGAGAGCAGGAGGAAAGGGGAATCAAGAGAAGAAAGAAAAAAGGGGCAGAGCCAAGAGGAGGAGGAGGAGAGACAGATGGCGAGGGAAGAAAGAAAAGAAGTGTAGAGTAGGGTGGGCAGCTAATGCCTGCCTAATTCTACTTTATTGTTGGAGGAGAGACAGATGGCGAGGGAAGAAAGAAAAGAAGTGTAGAGTAGGGTGGGCAGCTAATGCCTGCCTAATTCTACTTTATTGTTGGAGGAGAGACAGATGGCGAGGGAAGAAAGAAAAGAAGTGTAGAGTAGGGTGGGCAGCTAATGCCTGCCTAGTTTTACTTTATTGTTTACCCCCCCCATACAATTACTCACACCTGGCGATATTGATGGTGATGATAATGATGATGATGATGCTCATGATGATGCTCATGATGATGCTCATGATACCTATTGAGATCCCCCAGTTGACACCCTTGAGAATT